GGCATACTGGTATCCATATTTCATCAAAGTTTGGAGACGGATCGATTGGAAGCTCCCAACGAGAGTGTGATTGAAAACATTGTCAAATAATGATGATGTTGAGATTCATAATCATGAGGCTCGTGAAGTCTGTACTCTGGAAGGTTGAAGCGAAAGTTCTTCTCCGCATTATGGAATGTTCTCTCTAGAGTCCGCATACTTCTCTCTCGCGAAGAGCATGCGTTTCGGTCCTTTTCTTCCATCCGTTCGGGTTATGGTAACGAGATGCACGTACGTACGAGTTGTATCCATTCATTGCATACGGTACTGGAAGATTTGTGCTATTTTCCGTGAACTAGATGTTTGGATAATCATGTGATCTGGTGATACCTTTGTAGAATTGGAGAAGGGTTTGAACATGTACAGAAATACATGGCATCTTTTCTACTATGCTTGTGACACAATCCAGAAGCGGAAGATTTTGATCATCGCCTTCAAAGTTTGAACTTTCATATCAACAGAAAACTTTTCCAACTCCTCCAACTCAAAATTCTACATGGTTTTCTGTCATTTGTGTCATTTGTCGCTCAAATGTTTAGAATGGAATAGTAAAAATGTCATAGAGTTTTCTTGGTGTCTTCTGTTGCAGAACTAGATGCAGGCGGTGCAGACTGTGCAGTTGATAGGCGGTCTCGAGCGGGTTTTAGTGATCTTTCAATTTTTGATATATTCCGGTGAGTAGGAAAAAGGAAATGTAAAACGATGATCTTTTTTTGAATGATGCCTGATTCGTGCGATGTATGTAATGTGTGATGTGTGATGTTCCCGAGCATGACATTTTTACTAGTCGATCGTAGGGCTTTATCATGCGCTCGAGAATTCGATGCATTTTGAAGTGCAAAAGTGTATCATTGGCTAGATGGATGGCAAGGTAAGAATTGTCGTACATGGCAGGAGAAGGATCACTGAAAATAGTAACATTTCTCTAGCCTTTTGCTTGCTCGTGTTTCTGTACGATGTTAAAAAGTAGCATCATGAGTTCCACAGATTTCATTGAGTACCGTGAAGAAAATGTGTGAGTGGCTTATTCTTACTTGGCCATGGTCGGCATCTGTGTAAGGTTTCAATATAATAAGCAACCTCGGTATATGTCATACGATGAGACAAAGTCCCCAGATGCGGATAATTGCCTGGATTAATGGAGAAATCCTCAAGGACCCAGAGTAGTATCTTTGTGCAGTATCTCTATGCAGTATCTCTATGCAGTATGTTCGATTGAAGGATCTTGAACCTCGTTGCCTCGTCGTTCTTATTGCTTTGACATTCCGACCAAACGGGAGGATGTTACCTTGGTGACAACTTCACAGCTCTCGAATGGCAATGCAAGTAAGTGGCTAGAATAGATCAGCAGTCTTCATAAATGAAGCACAGAGTACCTAGAAAACGCGAAGAATTCTTGGCACGCACTTGTTAGATTTTGAATGGAAGATCGGTTATGTCGCCTGAATTGGCCATAAGAGGTAAAAAAGATATGTTAGCAAGGATTTATCCATGCATTTTCATATAATGTGCGATGCCCTGATTAGGACTCATCTCCGTGCAGGTGACGATTGGTTTGACAACTTAAAAATATTCTTCGGAGCAATATCTACATCGGGAGATCGAGGGGTTTAGTAGATCTCGGGGTGGACAAGAGGGAACGAGAGTAAAGTTACTCAAGTAGGCAAAGTGCTGGCTGGGTTAGATGGATGATGGATGAAGGGAACATGGAGGGATCAGATTACTTGATCGTTTGACAAACATGAATATTGTGTAGGGTATCTGGCAGAGAGACTGGGAAAGAGCCTGATGAGAACTTTGTACAGAGCAGGAATAAATAGAACAATGGACAAAGTAGTCAATAGCATGATGAAATCTATAGAACTCCTATGCTGTGAAAAGAAAAGTAAGATTGAAGCTGGCACGGAAATTACCCTCTCTTATGCTGTGATACTTGTCAGCTTTCTCCTTTGTTCCCTTCAGCAAGACCTGGTGGACGTTTTAGAGAACGAAATGGTTGAACAAATCAATTTTGTGGCGTCGACGAATTCGTAAAGATTACTTTCAACTTGACGAGGTTTGGAGTCTTTTGATAGGCCTGCAGTCAATGAAGAATCGACGGCGTGAGAAACTAGCAAATTTCTTGATCATGGCGACACCCGTAGCGGCGCCCGTGGTAGGATATTATCATAAGTAGCAAGAAGACGAAAAGTTGATGGTGATTGGCTTGAAAGACTTCAATGTTCCGTGTGTGAGGCGTGGGAGCGAGAACGAGGGGATTGTAAATGAAGGGGGTGGGTGGTTGTAGATGGCCTTGGGATACTGTAACGATTTGATCTTGATTTGATATGGATACGTTTTGAACTTCGATTTCGATGTACATTGTAGAAATAGAAAAGTTGTGCAAAATTCGTGTCACACTGTTGTGACAAAGTTCTCGTTCTCTAAGGGAGGGACTAAATTCAAATAAAAATCCTCATTCAAAGTTTTGGCAACTCCAAGTGTTGGCTGTATGCACCCTCTTCGTTCCAGCTCCTTTTGACCGGGTGAATACTTGATACCTATGTATTTTGAGTTCAAATCTTTTTCATCCAATAGTTTCCATATCAGGTTATACAACAGATATAAAGTTGGAACTTTATTGCCCACATATAGTTACCTAGAATATGATACTTCATATATTCAAATAAAATATGAGATATGAAATCTTATTCATCTGAGATATTCATTATTGCTCTTGGCTTTCCATTTCATCTCCTTTCTCTATGATTCTTTGCCATCGACGTCCACAATTACGATTCCTTGGAGTTATCCATCCAGAACACTGGGGAATCTCAACGCGGATCTGGGTCAGAACATCGACTCTTACCTGCTCCTGCTCCTGCTCCTGCTCCTTCTCTTTCTCCTTCTTTCGTGGACAAGAGTCAGGTGTATTGGTCCCGTTCAATCTCAAGTAGAACCTCTGATATTTCATTGGAATATTGAAATAAGTGTTTAAGCTGACACAGCCTATTTGTTACGTTACTTGTGGAGGAATTGACTTAGTCCTAGGTAAATAGATACCCGTGGACTTCAACCCTGTTCGCACCTTGTTTGTTCCTGGTTGGTGAACGTCGACAGTCATCCTTGATTAGTTTTCATACTCGACCTAAAAGAGTTTAAGGAAAGGAAAGCTGTGACTTGGATGGAATTTCTGATCTGTTGACCAAGAAGGCAAAACGCAGCAAGGAAAAAAGGCATAAGGAAAATCTTGAACCAAATTGATGGGATATTACCGGTATATCTATCTAATTGTCACATACTTACATGTTACATTACGGCAAGCAGCAAGCAGCAAGGGATTTATTATACGATCGTTCCTTTGATTGGTCTCCGGAGCGGTTTTATTTTTCATCAGCTTGCATCTATCAAAAAAGCGAAGCTATCAATCATCATTCAACCCTCCAGTAACATCACCCTCGATATTTTGCTCGAATCCTTTCGCACATCACATCACATCACATCACCTTACCTCATCTCATCTCACCTACTCGCCCACTCACTCACACCCACCATCCACACGACATAATAATCTGTTTGTACCACCCACACTACACCACACTCTCCCATCCCATCCATCACTCATTTCGGGCTTCAAAGTTCCTCTGGCACTCCCATTTCCACACACCCACCCACTCACCACCCTCTTCTCCAATCTCCACGGATACTCGGTTCCACCAAAAGCGCATTATCATCTCAACCCTCACTTCACCACCCAGAGCACAACAGATCCCATCTCCACCCATCGACACGCTTACATCTACACCTCTCTTTCGATTTCCACACTTTCAACCACCTCATTATCTACACCACACAGGTATCTCCTATTAGCCACCGAATTCTGCGAAGACCGTCCCTCTCTCTCACCTCTGACCTCTCTCCTCACACTCTCTCCTCACACTCTCTCCACTTCACTACATCCACTCTTTCCATACCACACCTATTTAGTCAATCCACATTAAACCGCTTCAACCACTCAACTGTCATCTATCGACTCTCTCGAATCCACTTTAATATTAACAAACACGCCTAAGCTTCACCATTGTTTTTCTTCTCCCCTTCACTTCTCTCCAAACAATCTTCGATTCTATATTAAGCCCTGGAAAAGATTGGTTCCTTTTTTCTTCTCACTATCATCGCCTTTTCCATTACTCACTCCTCACCCTTCACTCTGCCACTCTTCCACTCTTCAACATTTCACCCCCATAATCAGAAAGGAAAAGAAGAAGAAGAGTGAATTAAATTCAATTCAAATAATTCAAGCCACCAGCCTCACATAATTTCCATCCAATTATAACGACCTCACGATCCTTCAACCCCCCGCATCTCCATGAAATGAGCATCCCGTCTCCGCCATACAGGATTATACGGACCGAATAAAGTACTCCAGAAATCCAATATTTTGATTCTATCGTCTTTTCTATCCTACCAGCCTACCAAGATATCCAAAACAGCACCGACACGAAATACACTTTTGCAATAAACTCCACATACCCCAGACGACACAAGACAACAATTCGAACACACATTCCTTTCATTTGGCACGACGTCGAGATCAATCACCCGAGTATACCCAAATAATTTGCACAGATAGTACCATAAGGCTGGCTTTATGTTCAAGTGTTAGGCAGTGCTAGGTAATATCGACCCAAAAGCGAACACTCCGAGGCTTTGGTGCACAGGTTCAATTTGATCGTCAATTCTACAGCCTTATTCGCTTTTCTATTGTTTGACTGGACTGGACGGGACTCGACTCGACTCGACTCGACCCTCAGCCGATTCGATTAGACTTATCAATTGAATTGATCGTCATATCGATAAACAAAATTAAATCTCAATTTGCCATAATTTCCTCCACCGCCCATCATGTCGTCTTCGTCCTCGGTGAAAAGAGCGTGCGACGCATGCCATCGTCGAAAGGTCAAATGTGATGGTATCAACCCATGTCGCAATTGCTCTTCAGCACAATTATCTTGCACTTATCATGCTATACCACAAAAGAAAGGACCAAAGGGTTCAAGAGCCAAAGTCATCAGCGAATTAAGACAAAATCAACAATCATCACTTTCAGCCAAACTGCAAACCGCATAAATGGTGTTCAAAGCCCACCATGCAGTCCTACACTCGCACCAACCCCAGGTCTTCTTACAACGGAAATGGTGAAGGAATGTACCGAGTTCTTCTTCGCGAACATGTATCCTACGATGCCGATATTGCACAGGGAGAGATTAGAGCAACAAGCACTGTATGTGGATCAGAATGTCGATACATACTGTCTCTTAACCGCGATGTGTGCATTCATGATGATACAACCTGGAATGGGAATACCTGGTGACCCTCTTGGATTAGACAATCTACCTGGCGCGAATATTGTCTCTGGAACCTTATTACTGGAAGAGACCTTGAAGGTTAGAAAAAGTTACGACTACTGCGAATCACCTACACAAAACAGCTTGGTGACTAGCTTTTTCATCTTTGCATGCTACTACGGATTGGATCTTCATAATAAGGCTTGGTTCCATTTACGTGAAGCTACAACATTGGCACACACCTTGGAAATGGTTAAAGAGGAGACATATCATCAGTTTGATATCATTGAATCATCACGAAGACGAAGATTATATTGGTTGTTGTTCGTCACGGAAAGGTGAGATTCATGTCAAGGCAATTCAGTATCAAACGCTAACAAAGTCATAGATCATATGCGCTTCAACGCCATCGACCTCTGTCTCTTCAAGCCACGATTAACCTTCCTTCGATCAACGATGATCCCACGGATCCCCAGAATCATCATTTGCATGGATTTATCCATCTAGTAAATGTCTACCGTCCATTCGATGATCAATTTGTCGCACTCTGGAACAAGACCAGAACCGATTGTTCTCCAGCCTATCTCTCATCTCTACAAAAACAACTCTCCGAAGCTCTCCCCATCTATCTTAACACGACGGAAAATCAAACAGCAGATCTCAGAACAAGTCAACAATGGTTAAGAACAATGGTATGGCAATTGAGTATACAAAATGGATGTCTCAGTAGCAACTGTGATGATCCAAGCATGACATTCCAGTATCCAGTCGATATTGCCAGAGATTTGGCGCAGATGACAAGTCAATTCAGTCATCAGAGCATGGAGGTTCACGGTGTTGGATTGGTGAGTGTTCTTCCTTTGATTGACTCTATACCCAACTTGCTGACAGTAAATTGTTACAGATTGAGAAACTGTTCGACGTCGCTTGTTCGTTAACCGATGTTCTCTCCCTTCTCCCTGCGAAGTCTGATCCCTTCGCAATGGGTCCACGCGACTACCTTCATCAATTCATGACAATGCTCTCCATTCTCCGCAACGGCGATCATCGTTTTCTTCCTCTCCTTCTGAACAAAGTTCACGATGTCCTTCCTGGTCTTGTAAATCCCATGTTACAGAATGCTCCCGAACCCACTCAAATATGCGCGGATGTTGACCTATTTGATGGATTTGGCAACACTGGTATTAGCATTCCTCCTCAGAACTACAATACTATGGCTACTAGTGGCCCCAACGATTACAAGATGGCACATTCGAATGGAGGATTGGCATTCGACAAGAGAATTGAGGAATTGAGCAGTCCAAGTGTCACGGGTAGTATGTCTGCCGAAACCACTCCGTTCACATCACCGCCTATCATGAATCCTGGAATGGAATATCAAGCTTTGGATTATCCGGGATTCCATGATCTGAATAGTCATGCTCACGGAATGGATTTTAAGAGAGAGTTTGGTGTCGAAAATGGAGAGAGTTCTTTCGGGGTTTCGAGTCCTGGCGGTATGAGCGAAATGAGTAGTGGAGTTGCCAGTGTGAATGGAAATGGAATTGGTGGAAGAAGACCTCCGATACGACAAGGAAGTGGAAGTAGTTATGGTATGCCACTACCTAGGAGTATACCAGAGTTCAATCATGGTCACTTTTCGCGAGCCAGCACCGGCGGAGAGGACATGGGAGTAGGCGTGAATGGTGTTGATTTATCGCATCATGGGTATAGATGAGTGAAGGGAATTGTTGTTTGAGAAAATGTCACATCTTGGGAGCGGAATATCCTGGAAGGGAACGAAATGCAAACGATTTCTTTATCCGATCATCGGATGCAATATCGCAATCGATTTCATATACACTTCGCCACGGACTAATATCATAAACGGAGCTTACGGTATTTGCTATGTCGTGGTTGCAGGATTATCGTTTCGAGGACTGGAACCGTGTTGGCAATCAATTTTGTGTGGATCTTTTCGCAGACATGGAAACATCTACAAGAATGGAGGCAAAGGCACGTTGCATAATTTTCTCAGCTTGACTCGCTCTCTCGATATCGAAGGAATGGGGCAGAAGCTTGGAATTGAGATGCGTAGTGTATGTGTTATATGATGAGCTAGCTGTATAGGCGAATATGCAAGTGAGTTTTACGGAATGGGAAATGGCAATTAAAGGACCAAGGGAAGGAACGGCAAGGAACGGAAAATAAGTCATGGTTTGATGTTGGTGTTCGGGGTTTGGTGAATGGATCAGAATTGATTGATGTTTTGGTTTTTATGTTGTTTGAGTTGGAGAAAGCAAAGAGGATCGAGGTGGGAATCGAAGGGGGTGCGAATTGTTGAATGTATATCCAATGTTTTATGTATGACATGGGGGCTCTTGTGTGATGATGCGATGTGGTTCATGGTCGAATAGGGTGGTTAGCGTGTCTGTTTAGATATACGATATGATATCCAGTTTGATTCATTTATTCGATACGCTGTTGATGTGTTGAGATGAGTGAGATAATAATTGTTGAGAATGGCAATTACTTCTTTGTAAATGAGACTAGCCGTTGAGCTAAGTAGCACCTAGGCCAACAGCGGTGATGAAGTCGTCCGATGTGCTATGCTTGTAAGTTCTGCTAATTCAGAGCCTGATGAGGATGAAAGAGGGAAACATTGCAGACCGGAGGTAATCTTAAGGTCGAGGATCTTTCTGATCTAAATTAAACCAAAGGCAACAAAAACTTCAAACTACACTTAGCTGTGATGGAGTGGGCGGTTCATGACCTTAGAATCTGGATATGACCAAGGCAGAGAAGCTCAAGGAACGCCATTACTGCTTTTCCCTCAGGGGGGCTGCTTGTGAGGCTGTCCTTGCTGTGATCATCTCACGACCGACTGTAACGATTATCATCGCAGGCCCGATTGATGTATCAAAATAGACATTCGCTATACTAGTCCGTTTCACTTATATATACTTCGATATGGAATGCATCCAAGTATACCTAGGTTAAGTTCAGATCCTTCGCACTTGACACGATTGCTTGTCATTATCATCTTTGTTGATACGTTTGGCAACTATTCGAATGGTTGTTCCTTCGCTGCACTTTCTCAAACTTCTTGTGGTATATATCGTAGCTGTTTGGCAAAGGGGTAGGTTGCGAGTAGAACTGACCAGATGGCAGTAGATAGTTTCTGATTCGTGTGGACCGGGCAGAATTTTAATGATTCGGGTTTCATTGTCCACTATTTGAAGGTATCTATGTGACGTGTTCAACTTTTTGATGATATCTCTAAAGTTGAACGGAAGAGACAAATACTGGCAATGTATCGAGTAGCGACCAGGTAGCAATCCAAGCGCCCTTGAAATTAGATGCTGGTAACTTGCTATATTGGTACTATCTAATCATTATTCGAAGTCCTGGTGCCCAAGACCTCTGTTACAGAGCACAGTGGCGAATTAGACTTTTTGCTTTTCTCCCGATACTTTCTTTGATTTGTTGATCTCCTCGTCATCTTGGGTCAAGCCCATAATCTTCTTCCATTGTTCAAACAAGCTTACTATCTTACCATTCAAATCTAAGAACTCCCAAGACTCGGGAAGACTTGCAATCCCACATGCGTGATCTTCATCAAGAAATGTATGCAAGTATGGTCTGTTCTCTGGAAAAGTAATAGTCTGATCAAGAGAAAGCTTGTCGAGCGCTTGCTTTTGTGAGTATGAGAACAGCTGATTGTTGACGTATGACCAGAAACTTGGCTTTTCCATGGCGAAGTCGTTTCTATGTGTGTTTCCATAGCGATGCTTCAGACTTATTGTGTGTTAAAATGCACTCTCAATATAATAAAATGCAGGGCCATCGAAATCATAATAGGATTGACAAAAGTTCGTAGGATGGTAAGAAAGTTTAGTTCTGTAGCTATGTCTGGGATTTTTGTAGTTCTAGTTGTATCCATGAGAAGACTGGGTGGTAGTTCTGGATGTTCTATTGTCCAAGTGTGCTTGTCGCCAATCCATCGGAAGGTATCTGGTATGAAATGTTGGTAGTGTCGCTTTCCATTGCCTTCTTTGTTTCTGAGGACGTTCGGCTGTATTCGAGTGGTGAAGGCATAATTAACTTCCATCCATTTTTAACATATTTAGGCATCATCTGATCATAACCAGGATGAGGTCCATACAACCATAATGCTTCGTGCCTAAGCACTGAGTTAGGAAACAGTGAGTATGCTTTGCTCCATGTAATATAGTTTGCCGACGAGGTATCCGGAAAGCACCCTAGAGCTGCTAAAATAGATGGTATCAGTGCGTGAGTAACACGAATGAGCGTGTGGCTAGATGAAAATTTATCATCGCGTCTGATATAATACCAGGACTATAGCGAAAGTCTGTTAGTACGTGATGGCAAATATCTATCAGCTGATAGGCTCCTTACTCTATTTAGAAAACTACGTTCATACATTTTCGGGGCTGGAGAATCTCGATCATCTCTAAGCACTGCAGGCCACTCCCAAGGCAAACATGTGTCCGGTATGTGGGGGTGATGAGTCTTCAGGGTACATGTAACTTTCCTCTTCACAAATAAACTTTCTGAAAGCATTTTCATCATCCGTCTTGCCCAACAATAGCACACATTCCATCTTTAAAACGTATAGACCTGTTTAAAAAAAAATGAAGAGCAGTATTACCAACGATAATCGCATTGGTTTGTGCCATTTTTAATCTGAGCGTTTCGGGGTCTTTAAAGAAGTGTTTGAGAATAGAGTTGATGTTTAATTGAGTCCTCGACATCGTTTCTGGCAAGATTGAAACCCGTTTCGAAGTTCTGGATAGGCTGACAATATCGCGAAAGCTCGGTCCTGAGCAAATACTTTCCATGATTGGCCACTGTTGAGAGAAATCTAAAAGAGATGGAGGACTGTCCTTGAGAGCTTTAGACATATTCATAGTTTTGCTTGCTCTAGCAGAAATTATATGCCTTGCTGCCGTTGTTGGTCGATGCAATAACAGTTTGAGTTTGCAGGAGATCGTGGCTTTATTGAGCTGTATTGCAAATGATATGACACGAAGTCCAAAATCAGAAAGAGAGTCAAATTATGTAGGTATGAATTGGAGACCTAATAGCACGGCCCAAACTTTGGGGTCTAGTATTCACTCAATAATCGCATGTCAAGTTTGACAACCTGATCATCTTGCACCATTCAATGTATGTAGATGATACTCGAGCACTAATTCGAGCCACATTATAACGATAAAATCTATGTTCGCTTTTGCACGACTATAATAACTTTCCCTACCTATAGCTGTCTGTAATACCCCGAGAACATTGGCATAGTTTCCCCGGTTAGAACCTAGCGATTACAAGCCTATCTCTCATGTCAACACGGTCGAGAATCAGGGGTCCTTGTCGATATGTGTTTGTATACCAAGGTCCTTTGTTGAGATATTAATATGCACTGCTCAATCCATAAACATAAACCTACCTATGTGAGGTTGTGATTTCCGATGTTGAGTTTGATAAGGTTAGCTCGAGGTTAGTCACCATGTGAATGTAAAAATCCCCCCCCCCCCACGCTGTTCGGACCTCCGCTTCAGGCCTTCCGACATCCCGAAAAGTCTAGATCAACCTTGTCTGGCACTACTGCGGGGAATCATCGTGAAGTAAAATGATTCGTATTACTACACCAACAAAAACATTCAAACCGTTCATACAATATGAGGATTTGTTACCTGATCATAATCGCATCATTTACCCCGAATCGCGGGTGGAAATAATGCTGTTTCCGCAGCAATGCGGTCGCGTACAGGATGGTAATTATCTTCTCTCACTGTTTATTAATGAATTCATTTCAATGGCCAATTTGCTAATCGATGCCTTCGTGGTACTAGTCAAACATGCCGCCAACGAAAACTCAAATGCGACGAAACAAAGCCAGAATGTGGACAGTGTCGCAAAGCTTCAAGACAATGTGTACTTAGTGACGGAGTAGTATTCAGACATCAACAAAATGCTTCCATGAACGGCGGTGAAGATGTTATTCCTGGTGATAGAAGTGGCCGATTAGGTGCATTTTTTGCGTATAGGAATACATTTGATGAGAACAGTATTTGGGTCGATGTGCCAAAGAAAAGTGCGTTAAACTCTACTGGAGTGAAGATTTATCGTGAGATGAAGGATTTGGAATCTGACTTGGCAATTGACAGTAACCTTCTTTAATGTTATCGATCCATACAACATGGAAGCGACTCCTGAACCTGAACCTGAACCTGAACAATCCACAGAATCTATCCTTCCCACCGCAATTACTATAGACGACACTGTGAATGATGTTTCTACTTATCCTCAGTTTGAAGAAGCACCTGGGTTGGAAGCTCTTTCCACTGCGGCAACTACAAATATGGAATATATGCCTCAATTATCGGTGCATACACAATCACCAAGGAGTCTCAACACTCCCCAGCACTCCGCCAATAACCTGGAATTTATATTGAACCCTACAAGACCGGAAGCCCATCTGAGTATGGAAATCATCATTTCTTTATTCATTGAGTCCTCGGCTAATATTACTGTGATAGACTCACCCCTTACTGATCCTTCATTAAGATCACTCTCTAGGACGAACACTTTCATCAGCGATGCTGATAGCGTGAGAGAGCATGAAGTTGCGTTTCTATTGAGACATTTTGGAGAGACTACCGGACAATGGTGAGCTAAGATTATATCAAGATCGGAAGCATTATTGATTATGTTAGGATGGATTTATTCGACCTCGGGTGCTACTTCGCACACCATGTCCCTATTCTTGCCGTATCGAATCCTTTGCTCAAATACTCAGTATGCGCATATGCTGCCAAGCAACTTTCGCGTGTTGGGGGAAGAAAGGCTATTGTTGGTGGCATAGTCAGTGAGCAAGCACTCATGGAGCTCTACCCAAATTCGGATAAGGTCGACTGGGTTTACATTAGTGCAAAATATTACGACAGAGCAATTTCACTCTTAGTAGAGGAGCTCTCGAAGTCGGGTGGAAAAGATTTTCCTATTACACCCACGATCGATGGTCATTTTAATTCCCCAGTAAATATTGAATCACCACAGAGTACTCCTTCCCAATCAAATAAGCGACGGCGATTATCGAAGCCGATAAACCGTGACGCCGATGAGACAATCGCAGCCGCCGCCATACTCTGCGTTTATGAATTTCTCGACAATGCTTTACATGCTTGGTCTCGACATCTTAGCGGGACTAAGTCCTTGTTCGACCTGGCGGAAAGGGAAGGCATGATGCCTCTCCATTCACCTTCACCTAGCACTCCAGGATCATTATCATTTAGGACTAAGCCTTCAGTTGCTAGGAAGGCTACATTTTGGAACTTCGCCCGCCAGGACTTTCTGGCAGCTTGTTAGTATTTGAACCCTCACACCTTTGACAAGTCTAACTTTGAACCAGTCATCAATGAAGGACAAACGCGACTCGACACAGAAGACTGGGACCTTTGGCGTGCAGCCGGACTCCTGATAGATGATCAAGGATTTGTTATTCCAAGCAATAAGGAAAGCTCATACCCAGAGCTGCAGATGTCTATGCGGGAAGATATGATTTCAAATGCCTTGATTTGGCTCATGTCGAAAATCGTCAATTTTATTGCTACCGGTGATTCTATCGATAATGTCTATCCCCAGGATAGAGGTAGTCCTACTGCTGTTTTTGGTATCAATCAAATGACTTTACTCGAAAGATGGCACGAGCTGGCAAACGAGCTGGAAGTTTGGTATCGAGGTCTACCAGATACCTTCAAACCATGTGCTCGTTTATCAACAATTACAGATGGTAGTCTACCACAAGACTCACCAAGAACTGTATTCCCAGAGATTTGGTATAGTATTCCAATGTGTGGCTCGACAATGCAGTCATATCATTTTACGAGAATCCTCCTTCTTACCAATAAGCCCCACGAATCTACCACAAAAAGAACGACCGTTTCAAATAGGCTCCATTCATATCGGTCTATTGAGATGGAGGTTCGCCATCATAGTCATGAAATCTGCGGCATCGCTCTAGGAAGGCCGGAAGGTTCTGTGAGGATTCACCAAGTGCAGCCACTATTTATCGCAGGTCAATGTTTAACAGAAACGAAAGAGCGAAAAGTAATACTTGATTTGCTGAAGGATGTTGAAATTGATCTTGGCTGGGCGACCGATTATCGTGTCAAACAATTGGTGAAAGATTGGAACTGGCATGAAACTATGATATGAAATCGAACGCTCATTCATATTGGCAAGCATCGCTCCAATCTTGGAGTCTTACTACACGATTTTGTACAAATCTCCGATCTTTTCGCCGATCGATCTCAGAATTGATGTAGGGAGCTACTGGAGAAGATCTGGGAACTGATTGGTGTTGATGCGTCGAGATTGTGTTGCGGTCAAATTCGAATATTCGGACCATTGGACCTAATACAAGCTTTCAATGTCTAGAAGGCCATAACTCTCTCAGGACCGACTATTCTTGCGAAATGAGGTTAACAGAAGATTGCAATTCTCTTGCTATTGGATAGCAGTGTGCGATTATTGGACAACCCGGCCCCAAACGTGTAGACTTTTCTGTCAGTTTCTTTTGAAATTCCTGAAACAACTTTCATGTTCGATGGCCCCCATTGATACAATCAATTAAGGCAACTTTGTCACAGAACAATGTTCATTCGAAACAAATGAAAATGTTAATGAAGAGTCTAGCGGTCTTACCAGAACTTTCGTCGGATATCCATCAAAGATAAAAGTTTCTCTTAATGTTCGATTTAGCCCATTTCTCATCTCATCTCACACCATATCGTTTCGATCAGAAAGCTACCACGATGTAAACATGCGTGGTAGTGATAGAAACAGACGTACCGAATGGCATTATGACGAAGCACATTGTAGTCGTGGCAACCGAAATCGCTCGCATGTACAATACGCGTCAGCTCGAACTCAGCATGATCCTCACTTGGGTCATCACCGTATCCAGGATAGTCGCTATTGGTATCAAAAACCAGATTCCCGCAACAATCTCTCACTTCGTCGATTCAACCAATATTCCACATTCAATCGACCCAATCACCATTTTCTTGCAAAATCCAAACACCTTAAAGAGTACCTTCTGACATCTTTGAAGTCGCATATAGATAGGATAGAGGAATGGTTGCCAGAAAACGAGTGTAAGGGTGGGGACAATCACGTCGACTTGCATAACGTTGAATGTCTCGAAGAAATGGACTGGCAATTAGAACGAGAGCTGGTCATTGAAGGATATGAATGGAGCTCGGAGGTCTTATCACTTAGTCGGAATGCGGCAGAGTTGAAAGATGTCACTCCCGACAATGGCCATGGACAGTCATCTAATGGTAGAACCGATACTGAAAGCGTGGTTCCGAATAGATGTTTGGACATCGAACGGGAGGATCAGAGCAATGGCCTTGGTCCTAAATGAGGCCAGTCTAAGGCTTCTGGGCATGAGCGCTGCTTGTCCCGAATCTCGGTTTGATATACAATTGATTGATGAAGTTGGAGGACAAGTGTATGCAATTATACACACAAACTGGTAATAACAAACTTTCGAGCCAGTTTCAGCAATAGTCTCTGTTCCTCTCACCATTTTGAAAAGTTAACGTGTTCGTTGCAAACGGCCAATCTGCTAGATAAATTCTCATTTCTTCTACCACAATGTCCAAACCATCCCACTCTTCTTTCTGATATCAATGTTTTCAATAGATATTACATACTCCACAAATGTATCCTTTTATTCATGTCTTAGATTGAGTAATCAGTTTCGATGAAATTTGTTATGAAGAGTCCTGTGGCAAGATGGTGAGAAATGTCTGCTGGCTTACTGCGGGTTGCAACAAGCATGTAATACATGAATCTGCTAGACTTGATGCGCTGTACATCGTTATATCGCTCTAGTATGACACCATGATCATGATCTTCGTGGCTGATTCACTAAGTTTGTGTTACACGTTCCGCGAGGTAATCTCCGCACACGTGTTAGCAAGTGTAACAATTTTCGTTCAACGAGTGAATCATCTATTTGAAAGTCTCCTTCGTCTGTATTTATGTGACAAATATCCCACTGATATAGCCCATCCTGAATCAAAAGCTCCCAGAGTTCAGGACACTTAACCGACGTATTTGGCAACGTCCATTCAATCATTGCTTTCCACCGACGCCGTTTTCGTTGAGGCTCCACGGCCAGACGAACAAGACACACAAGGCTCCAGAAACACAACCTCCGCACTGTTATCCACAACTACCGACCAATCCATGGAACCAACAAGCCATCACATACCCTACTACCCCTGCGAGACTATCGGTCCCGTAACCCATACCCATTTCACCCGCCCCACGACTACCTACTGGCAAGAAATAATTCCTACAGCATCCGTTGCTTCCCTCCCATATTCAACAACTCCTCCCTATCAATACTCCTTCGCCGCGTCTCTTACTCCAGACACAAGCCTACTTCTTCCTATCAGACCACTAGGCGATAGCACTGATCGCATTGCTGTTTGTTCATTGGCATTACCGCATGCTTCGATGAAGGTTGTGAGGGAACTGGCGAGGATAGTAGCAAGTAAGATAAGGAAGTTCAACCCGGAAGTTGTGATGGGATTGCCGACTGGTGGATTGGTTTTGGCGCCTTTTGTAGCAGAAGAATTAGGATTTGGTAGGTTGATCATCTCGTTCATGCTGCCAGCCCCTTCATTCCATCACGTTTACTTGGAGAATCGCGAGAATGCTTGCTTTAGCTCTGTGTTTCCGAGTCTCCGATTGAGTCGAAGGGGGATAGATTCTTACTGTGCAAGCGAACAAGAATGATATGCTAACTAGTTTTATGCATTAGATCGTCACATCCCATGGGGTTACTCCAAGAAACCCTGGTATGGAGACCAACTCACCACCAAGATATCATGTCTCTTCGACAAACCAGGCCAGGGACCACCGGTCTATCTCGATCCTAATCTTCTGTCGTTGGTTAAAGGGAAGAGAATAGCGTTGATTGATGACGTGATTAGTTCTGGGACTACTATGAGCGCTATGTTGAAATTTTTGACTGATAAAGAGATCATTGATGAAGAAGCACCGGAAGGACTTGCGATTGATAAGACTAATAAGGGGGCGGCGGATGCTAAGACCAGAGAGGGTGGGATGGGACTGAATGTTGTTTGTATTGGAGTGGGAATGTTACAGGGAGAGGTGTATAAGAAGGAGTTGAGTGCAGATGTTGTGAGGATGTTAGTAGGAGCTGTGGAAAGTCCGTTATTGAAAGCAGTTGAAGGAGGCTGGATTCAAAGATGAAGTTTGATAACAAATTTGTGGTTATGGTTGTGGTTGTGTTGTTAGGTAATCCTGTTGTTGTGCAATAAAGGGAATGGATATTGGGATGGTGTTAATGAATGCCGATTGGTTGGTCCGAAACGTGGAAGTAATGGAGATTTAGCCACAGAGGTTAGCATTGCAAAAAACATGCTATTAACTGTAACATTTCAAGTGTTTCCCTACCCTAGAATAAAGGTGTGAAATTGTGGCTTGGATTTAGCCCATGTCTTCAAATACGCTTTTGTCAGCGCAACCCGTTTACTAATACCGTTGTGATTTGTCCATACAACCATTAATTTCATTTGGGAATCCTCCCTCTTCAACACCTCCACTCATTTTCGGTGGATCTGCTATAAACAGAATGTGCTTCGTCACACATATCGCCGAGATCGTTCCAGCTCGCATAGATACGAGCATCATATTCTTTCCATGTAGCTTTGGAATCAAACTCTTCTGGAAGTTTTCCATGAAAGCATCCCTCTTTCCAAGAAAACAACACAAGATGCTGAGCAATTGCTTGTCGTCCTTGAAAGTAGGGGTTGCACATTGTGCTAAAGATGCAGCGACATTGAAAGTATCGTACCAACTCCGTGTACGGCAATCAAAATCTATTTTATTCGCAACAGATGACCATGAACATGATGGAAAACAACCCACCGCAGACTTGGGTCGCGAAGGATATTTTCCATCCACAGTCTTCCCCCATGAAGCAGAACTAAAGTTGTGTAATGGCAAGCCAAAGTGGTGTTCTGAGCCGTGAATCTTATGCAAAATACCGGAAAAGGCATTCAAAATATCACGTTCATGAACAAGGCTTCGTTGGGTGTATTCGCTCGCCAGTAGGAAATATCCAAAGCTGTCTGTGGCAGAGAATGCCAAACCCTGTATAATTGCTGCGCCTTCGTCGCCTTTGTCCTCGCAGTCCTACAAATTACAATTGTTTATTGTTTTAGATCTAAACTTCAGTAATTTTGAAATACGAAAACAACACACATCCACCTTAATCGGTTGTATGTTGTGTTTGGTTTCACGTGTCTTAGTATGGTATGTAAATTAAAGGTTGGAGTTATTGGACAGTGACCACTAACCACTGAGGAGATAGACAGAGGAAAACTTCACGTCCTTGCATGAACAGGGAGAAGCGTATTATAGATTTTTTTTCCTAATCGCAGATATCTTTAGAAGTAATGGAGAAATCATTAGATATATATATATATGGCATCGAGCTATACATCCCTTCTATGCAAGAATCTCAATACAAATACCGAGCACTTGCTGTGCCCCTCTATGACTATTATACTCCCGAACGATTAACAACTCGCTTTCTAATATAAAAGATAAGGAACGCAATCTCTCCCCTCTCACTATCTTCCACTATTTCCCCCAAATTTAACACTCTTCCCCAAGGGCCCTGATAAACTCTCACTAGACCTCTTCCCAAAAGGAAGACGATTCTTCTTCAATGATTGTCAACATCCCGACTTCGGATTCGGGTTAGCATTCTTATTTGTATTTGCATGAGTGAGGATATTGAGCGGAGGCTCGAGTTTGGGTTTAGACTTAGACTTTGTGGGAGATGGAGGAGGCGAAGAAGATGAGGATTCTGGATTGGGAGCAGGGGTTGGTGTTGGTTTGAGAATGGATTTTGGTTTGGTGGCGGCAGGTTTTGGTTCTGAAGTTGGAGTTGGAGGAGCAGCAGTTGCATTCGCTGCAATATTCGTGGTTCCATTGCGACAATTTGCACACGCATCCGAAGTATGCGGTTGAGGTACTGCTATTGGTGCAACTCCCACTATTGGAGGACCCATTAGAGGACCTATTGTCGCCAAGCCTAACCCGCCCAACAAATTAGTTCATTCGCGCGTCTCGCGGGGTCGACTCACCGGTGTGCAATACATACCAGTAACATAACCCGTAACGCGATTTCCTATGCCAGGAGGTGCAGGACCGGGATCTTGTCCATGAAGTGGATTGAAGCCTGGCGTTTGATGGATTATGGGGGCAGACACTGCAGTTACTGTTGTGGTTGGGTAGACGGGTACGATGGGGACGTAGTGCGGGATGGGGTATGGGTAGGGGTAGTAGTAGGGCATTTTTATAGAGAGATGTGATGTTGCTGAATATTCTTGATCTTATCTCGAAACCTGTTTGAAATGGAGCTCTGTAATGTTTGGAATGTATGGGTCTATCGATAGGGCGAACGAGGAGAAAGGGTGTTCTTTTGTGTCTCACTTGTAGTTGAAAATGCGGTTAATGGAGAAAGTTGCAAATGTAATTAAATGATCGTGAATGGGGGTATCAATTACTGAATGATTGGAGAATGTTCAAACTTTCAAGAATTCATACGAACTTCTCAGGATAGATCATTTCACAATCATCTGCCTCACAACAAACAATGATTGTGAATCTCCACGTCTGGTTTTTGCACAAACACATAGATTCAAAAAAGGAGGTTCCAAAATCAGCACTCTCAAATGTGTAGAGAAAATTTGAATGCACAGCAAACAGAAGATAATCGATTCTAACAACCCACTGATTCACATTTGGTCCAACCACCAAGAGTATTTGCGACGAATGATCGCTCGGAAATGATTCATATTTAGATATTCTGCGATCTGATAGTATTTTTGGAGGTGAGATACCCCCAAAACAAGCGTCTGGGTTATGCTTCGGAACAAACACACGGCACTAAATTACGCGAAGGTTGACACAGGGGAAGATTCCTCTCACACAATTACCAGACTCCAAATTTGTAACCGGAAAATGAAGTGTGAAGCTGATACTAGGCAACGAGAAGTATTGAACCTACTAACGTATGCATTACGAGCAAGGCAGGAGTTGGCACTGGCCAACTCCACCGAGCCTGCCCATCTTCAATGTGAAACTTAAGTAACCCGACTAGACATAACAAACACGGGGTGGACGCATATATTGAAAGCATTGAAAAAGCATTCGAGAATTACAGTGAAGGATATAATAGACCGTAATTAATTATGATAACACCGCATTACCTAGGTATGTTAACCTCTATATCTAATGTCTGGACGCCTCGTCCTTCTCAGCCCAGTCTACCCATCGTTTAATAACCTCATCTACCATCGTAACCCCATCCCTGTTGGCATCAATTTCAAACCACTCTCTATGTTCTTTCCCGCATGCTTTGCATTTTCCGCAGTTTACTCTTCTAGCCATCAATTCGATATGAATTAATCTTTCGACCTTGTGCACATTTGGCACCTTTTGAGGTCCATCATTTTCGCTAACTTTTCTCGATGGTGGTTTAGATGAATCATGATAAGGATAGTAACGAATCAATGAAAGGTTATAACCGCATTGTTTCTTCCACTGTTGCATCCTAGCGAAAACATTCTCGGCTCTCCCAATTTTGAGAAGCATTGTTTTTTCCTTCTTGTTTGGTGGAGCAGAAGTAAAGGATTCAAGAACATCGGAAGTTCGTCGATGGCCAGGTCCAGCTCTGGTTGTTGGTGTTAGAAGAGATCCAGCTGCTTCATCGGAAGGTCCCGTGGGTAACCCTTCATCGGTCAACCAGAACATATAAATAAATCCCGGAAGATCAGCATCAGAGATTGGTTTAGCTAATTCCGCTAATAATGCAGCTGTTGTCTGAGGGCTTGCTGATGAAGGAATATGAGCTAGAAACTCCCCCGTTCTCGAGGATGGATCACGTTCCATAGTAGGACGCTGAAGCATTTCAGGTGGCTTGGAAGTTGAAGGTCTCGATGATGATGTGTGCGGTCTCGAAGAAGGTCTTGAAGCTGGACGAGTTGTATGAGATGGCACATCAAGATGATCTAATATACGAGAACTTGGAACATGAGAGGAAGAACGTCCTTCGTGTGGTTTTTGTTGGGGTCTTGGTGGAATTTCCTCGTCTTCTGCGCCGCAACATAATAATTCTAGAGTGCTTCTTTTGCGTCGTCCTTGGCCATCATTTGTAGAATGTGGAACTTCATGATGTTCTTGTGATTGATGTGCTTGTGTCTGCTGCCATTCTTGTTCTTGTTGCTGGCGTTCAGTTTCAAGGCGTTGCTGCTCATTCCTCGAAGCATTGCTCGTCCCAGGTCGCCTGCCACGATTATCTTCTGAAGTCTGGCGCTGTTTTCCTTTGGTTTTCTTTTGATCGACCTCGAGGAGACCTAATCTTTCCACCAGTGTATCTACGCTTGATCTCTCACGCAGAGGGTTTGGTCGAGGTTGAGTGGGTGGGGCAGTTTGCCCAGCTTGATCTTTATGTTGCCAACAAAATGCATCTGGACTCAGCGCTCCTCTCGAAGGACTCGGACTCGGTGAATTCCGTGGTGATTTGGTCAGGCCTCTTCGGCATGGTTTTCCGTTTGATGAGAGACCTCGACATGTTGAATTGGGATTTTTCGAGTCTGTCCGAGGTAATAATGATTCGGGAGTATGATGATACATTGTTGGTGAGTATTGAATATGATCGAGACCTGTTAAAAAATGTTAATTGAAGGAAGGAACTGTTAGCAATATAACGAACGACTGTAAGACAGCTATTCTCTAGAACTATCTGAGCAAAGACGTGGCAGTGAACCTCGAGTCCAACATTATGACCCAATGATTCACTTCTTGCATATGAGGAACCATAATATCCATTTTTGAGGAGGCTGGGTTACGAGGGGTCATGAGTTTTTTGGCGCTTGGCGCTATGACCAATTAGCCACAATAGCTCCACGTGATTGACAGCAAAACGGAAAGGCCCATTCCGCCCCAAAGTTAATTCCCTTCTAACCTCACTTCAAATGGCACGTATCATCATTGCGTTGTGCAAAAGATGATCTTGCCATCCAACAAACAAAGATGTTAGACATTCTCGGGACATGTCTTCACAACGCAGATATGGATCTTGCTTGACTGTACAGTGTACAGTTTGGTTTGTGCCTTACAGAAGTTGTTGAAACGTCGCTTATGCATAGCCTAGTTAATTGGACCTTTTGAATGGACCAAGTATCATCAGCCTCACAACTCGTCAACCAGTACTTGAACACCACGCTGTGGCTTCCCGATCGATATGTCTCATTGGTAGGTTTCAGCCAGTAGGAACTTCTATCTAAACGCCACATTCTCAAACTGGATCTTTGGATTTTCTAGATGCGAGAAGGTGCTTCTATTTAATGTATGTCAGATGGGACGTGTAGCATCCCATCTTCCGGATTCCCAACCGAGCCTATCCCCCAGGATTTGGTATTGTTTCAACTTCAATTGTTGTCTGAAACACTTCCATCTCATCTCTGCTAGTAAACGTTTTGGGACGGGTTCTCGTTCGCATACCCCAAGGTAGAGGAACGCCACGGGTGGAGTGAGACATGATGGAAATCTTGGAATATGCTATTGCTATGATACCATTCAGTGATCTCCATCTATACGCTCATCATTTCTATAGACGTAATCATACCCGTCTTCATTCTTCATGCCTTGCTTCAAATATTCAAATCTGTCGAGCAAGACTCTACTATTGTACTATAATACATCTCAGATGAGACCACTCCAGAGGTTCAATCTGCTAAGTATCTCATACACGTGATTTGAATATAGGAAAAGGTATGTTGCATGTCTTATTTTCACCCTTTGGACAATTCTTGGGTAACAGCATATGGGATTGATTCACAGACCATTGATAAATATCATCATGAGACCGGCACCGTGATATGTATAAAGACTACTACTCCAAGTTTGTGATCACACAGATAAGAATCTAATCACAAATGGAACTTTATTATGCATCAGAGAACCATTGTTAGCATCGCAAAGTACTTCCTTTACCGCAAACTTACCCCTAAGATTTCTCCTCACCATCCACCATCATAACCTCCCCTCTCGTATATCTCTAAGGGCATCAATGTCATTTTCACCTCCACCTCTACCTTCACTCTCGCATATCTTAGCCATCACAACCTCCAAATCCCAGCCAATCTCCAAGCGGCCCTTCATCATCACCATCCCCAACATCTCACATGAATCTCGTCGACTCCTCCAAAATTCCCGCAACAACCTCCTCCATCTTCCTCACCGAATTTCCATCCCTAATGCTGCATGAATGACAAGCTCCAATAGACAACGGAATCATATATAAGAAAGTTTGGACATGGTTGACGAAGATGAAATATATTGGAAGACAGAGATTTATGAGAAAGAAGTCACCATTTATTTTCTGGCTTGCTGCCTAAAATTGCTGATGGTGAGAATTCAGCCTACAGTCATTCAACCGGTTGTTAATTATTATTTGGTATGGTAAAAGTGAGCTACTCTTAAGATTCTGAATAGCGTAGAAATGAAGACTTTCCGTTCTTAAGGTTACTTGATATATTTCTGGGAACATATCAATGTCCGCCCCAGACGCTCTTCTTGTGCCTTCGACTAGATTTCCCTCGAACACCCAAACCTCAAAAAGGTGGCATAAGAAAAAAGTAGTTCCATCATTCTAAATACTCGTATAGCCCCTTATGTCTCAAAGTATTCAATTTTGTCGACATAGCGGTACATATGCCGCCAGCCCAATAGGGTTTCCTTCTCCCTAACTCTCACCTCAATCCCAGCTCCCAACGCGAGCCATATCAGCACCCAGATCTATCCATGCTTGTGTGACACGACAATCAGATCTCTCCCTATTTTCCCATCTCAAACGATCTCTCTTTTCTTTCCGCCTCTCTCGTTCCATAAGCAATCGCTCATTCTTTTCCTTTCTCTGGATCTCCTTCTCCCTGATTCTCTTCTCTTGCGCCTCCCATAATCGTTCCCGTGCCTCTTCAGCTTCCTTTTCTTCGGTTATTTTCCGCATTTCTTCTTCTTCGTTTTTCATCTCTTCCTCATATTCCTTCCGGATCTGTTTTTTTGCTGCATTGTATTCCCTCTCCCATTGAGCGATCCGAGATTTCTCTTTCTTAGAATCGAGCTTCCTAGCTTTGTATCGAGATTCACACATTTCTCTTTCCTCTTCCTTTGCCTCCTTGTCGAAATCCTGCTTGCGCTTGCTAGCTCGCACGATTTTTGATTGAAACTTGATTATTTGTCCAGATGTCTTCATATATGGCATCGCAGAGTCAGGAATCCAATGATCGTCTAATTTTGGCAATTCTTCCCTTAACGGCGACGGACGTTTCTTGAAAACGGAATGTCTATCTTTTCGAGTAGGTACCTCCTCAATTTGTCGAGTGGTCATCTCCCAATGTGCAGCATTTCTCATGTCATCCATCTCGACTCTGCCTTCCAGCTCTGCATAAGTTTCTCCTCCACATTCCTTGATGATTTCTTCGGACAAGAACGGATTCCTATGCACATGCGAAAATCCCTTCTTGACCTGCTTCATGTATATCTTATGTCTCTCATGCCTCTCGTTTCGAAGACGTTGTCTGCTACATTTTCCGAGAGTGTGCATCAAATTTGGATTGAATCCCAACGGGAAACTTTCATTTTCATGCTTGATTTTGCATCTAAATTCGTTGTGGTAATGGTCTTGATAGGTGTGCAGTGATGATGTTCCCCCTCGACGAGTAGACTTAGTATTTCTGACGTAGCCGGCTGCTATAGATGCGAAGGGTAGCAGAGGACGTATCTGAGGAAGAATTTAGTATTAGTAAAGGATGACGAAGATTGTGAGATTTAACTTACAATTGGAGGTATCGGGTTCTCTCTTTTGAAATCATCACTTAGCATGCACTGCTCTCTGTATGGTTTACTTGAATGGGCAGACATCTAGAGGAAGAGAATATATGTTAGCAATGGAGTAGCCATAGGAATTGACGAAAGGTACCATACAGCCTTGGAAAATTTGCGAAGATAGTGCCCAGCGTCTTCAAGAGCCTTTAAAATTACCAAGCGTTGCAAAGGGTACTCTTGTAAATAGAAGTTCAAAACTTCGACATGACCTTCGACATTACCAGGTTCGATGCCTGCAACAGCTCTGAGCAACAATTCACACACTCTCGTTACTTTCCATGCCTTTGATGATTCGAGTGGTTTGTATGTAGTGATATCTGTATCGAAAGTCAAACCAGGTTGTTCAGTTGGCGGAAGGGAAGGCGATCCTGTATCCTTTGCAGGTTTCTTACGCAAGGTCGCGAATAAACCCGGGCAGCCAGATATCGTCAATGGGCCGAGATATTGGTCCTTAGAACTAATCGTGTTCATGCTTGAACTACCGCTCGTAATTTGCAACGGCAGAGACGAAGATAGCGGTAATGGTGGAAGACCTGCATAATTTCTATCAATAATCGCACTCAACTTATCATATTCCGATGTTAAATTTCCGTTCGAGTATTTATTCTCGAAAATACTCTTCCGCGATCCAACTCCTAGAATTGGAGCTGGAGAATTGGATTGAGATATTGATTCTGGAAGCACTGCAAGATTGCTCTGGTTGGTCGCAGACACTCCCGCAATTTGAGGCACTGTTGTCAAATTTAAGAGATGCATGATAGGGTTAGGATGAGGCTTGACGCCGTTTGTTTCCTTCTTCGCCTTCTTCCAGATTAGCGGATTTACAAGCAATTCCGTGGATTCAACTGGAACTGAGGCGCTTGAAGTTTCATCCAAAGGAGGATATATATTAATATCCATGGCAACCTCTGAGATAGACGAAGATGGGGGTGGTAGCGATGGGGGAAAGCAAAAGATTTGATGAGTATCTTTGTGCAAAGGCACGATAGAAGTCCCACCCATCTCCGTATCCTCTGCAGTCATAACGGCAGATGGATGGCTTCTGTTTACATTCGATTGCTCCATCCCAGAAATGATTATGAATAATGTAGATTTGGGTACAAGACCTCAGCCTCCAGTTTTTATTTCCTTGAAGTTCCGCGCTTCAGAAAAAGAGGAGCAGTTGTTTTGAGCTTGAAGAATTCTCCGACTTTGCAAATTGAATGAATTATATAAATTCGATCTCCGGAAAAGATTTCTCAGATTGTTGATGTGGGAGAGATGATGATTTTTTATTGTGATATTTCCAGGCTCCCGCTACAATAGCTAGGACTGCCTGATCGCATGCTAGACATTGTCAATACATCATTCTACGGTGATAAAAGTGAATACATTCCCAATTTTCACTTTTTTAATTGAACCGTAAAAGTGTGAGAACCGAACCCTGGCAGTGAAGTAACATCAACAACCTCGAACGTCAGGATTGAAGGAGCAGTAAATGGGAGATATCGATGCGAGACTTGATTGATTCGTGGGTTGCTGGTTATTGAATACTCACATCCCACATGCCCATCTTCTTCTTCTTCTTCCACACCTCACTCCAAACTTTCCTCATTCATATCCATATCCATATCCATATCCAAAACCACACCTGGAAATAGAAATCTGAGACCCTTCTTATGCCCATTCGATTAAATCACCTAAATGTTCCCATAGTACCAATCAATTAAAAGGTCTTCTCTGAAACATCTAATCATTGTCCAGATATGCAGCAAAACTTTTTGGGGAGGGGAGAGGGGCGTTGGGAGTGAAAGTCAAGTAATGCTTGAGACGAGAATCAGAACGGGACGATTTGACATGTGATTGGGTGAGAGTTCAGTTGAGAGCTAATAGTTGATGACTGAAATTTGAGTTTGAACAAACGAAATATCATATGGTAATGAAGAGAATTACAATGCAAATTTCAATTACAAGAATGACGGGAGCCACAATAGAATGGGTGTATGATGAATAAAGTATATATTTATTACTATGAACCTACTAGGTATTGAACAAAATTGCAGGTGAGGCGAGTTCTACCTCTTGCCTATCCTATTCTCAGGCTCACGTGGAGACTGAATACTTTTTCCGGATGTTTGCTATCACCACGTTTGCTGTAATATATCAAAGAAGAATTAAAGTACGACGATGATTGCTTCTTTAAAAGACGGGCTGGTGTAGATAGGTCAAACATCGTGAGTTTGCGATCTAAAGATGGAAACCTGCTTTGAGTATTGCTTCATATAATCAGGAATCATATTGTAAACTTGCCGGAACATTGCTTAGTCTTAGAAGATCTCAATAAACCCCTTGATCCCCGATATACTCCTCGCCCTATAGAGATAGTACGGGTATCTCATCGTTAAAACTGATCATCTCTTTACTTTTTTCTTGTCTGGCCCTTCATCTTCTTCGTCACTTATTTCAGCATACTGAGTTGTCGGTTGAGTATCTTTCCAGGCATTGGTAAATAGTGGGTCTGTCTTAGCAAGCTCAGCATATTTCAACAGCGCCTCTCTAGGATCCTCATCACGCATGCTACTCAGTGTGATACTTTCATTAATATGTTTCTCATCCGGTTGACTTTTCGCAAATGGTGTGACCAGTGGTAAATTAGGTCGGCGTGGATCTCGAGAACGGCCTGAGGCAGTCAAGCCTATGGTAGGATGTCTCGCAGAGAAGGATGTGGCCGATATATTAGACATGACACCACCTGGAGTAACGATGCTATCGCCTGACATGCCAGCAGATTGATCTGTTGTGAAGTTGGGGTCATCGTCAACATGGCGTTTCTTTGGTGCACGAGACATTACATCAACGGCACCTCGAACAGATGTGTTCGGATTGTATAGAACATGAACTTCGGAATTTGCAGATCCAGTAACAATTTGGTTGAGTTTTGGATGCCATTGAACTGTTATAAGTGGAGATCCAGGTGTCACTGGGGTAACTAGTTCTGGTTTGAGATTGCCGGAGTTTAAGATGTGTAGATGACCCGATGCGGAACCAGTGATGATATTGGCACCATTAGGTGAATATTTGATATTAGTAACCGAATACACATCTGATGTTGAGGGGTGTGAGACTGTCACAATGGGAGTTTTGAACTTTCTAGTATCCCAAAGTTTGATCAGATTGTCACCACCTCGTGTAACAACCATTCGGCCATCGGGACTGATATCAATACCACCCGTCCATGTATCCGGAGTGTGGGCGTCTCTGATTTCAGCTGTTGGTCTTGCATATGGTCCATTGCCACCCCACATCACTAAGCTTCCATCCAGAGCTGCAGATACTAATAGATTGTTTCCTCCTTGTGCTGGGCCTCCCCAAACAACGGCAGTCATTCTTGTCCTTCCTGCTGATCCTGAAGCCTTCGATTTGTGGACGATAACTTCTTTCTGACATCTTCTGACATTTACATCCCAAATTCGTAAAGTACTATCCGTACCAGCTGTGACGCAAATATTCTTATCCATCGGACTCCATGTACCTGTGGTAATTTCCGAAATATGCCCCTTTGTATTATTCATATCTCTCAGATACATATCTCCTTTTACGAACTCTCCGATAATATCTCCGTCTCGATTCATTAATTTCGCTTGCGGATGAGCGGATATACAGAGAAAGGTACCTCCGGCATGTGGATTGAATTCAACATGATTTATCGGATGGGTTTCGGAGTTTGCTGATGTTTTTGAATAATTTGGGTCCACGCTCTTGAAAGATCTAAGAGTTGTTGGGGTCATAGAAGCAAAATCGTGAAACTTGAGGGTACAATCGCTCGAGCCAGTTATGAGTCGTGAACCTGAAGGATCAAGTGTTGTGGTAGTAACCGCGCGTTCATGGGTTTTCAGTATCAATTCGTGAGAAGTTGGATATTCATCATCGTCGTCAGAGCCCCCATCGCTATCGGAATCCTCATCATCTTCATCAGAACCCCAATCTTTAGACGCTGGCTCTGACGCGAGCTTCTGTTGTCCAACTTCATGTCCAACCTCCTCTGTAGCCACTTTTGGCGCCTCAGCCTTCCTTTCTGCCGGTCGTCTTGTCCTATCGATTTGCGCGGCTACATCTGCCTCTTTTAATTTCTTACCAAAGGACGCTGGTAAGAAAGCTCTCATGGGATCATCCTCTGCTAGTTCCGGGCCTTCAATTTGGAAATCTTCGTCGTCGCTCATTGTTCAGATGGTCTTTGAGATCCAGGTATTGTGTGCGATTATCTTTAGAGAGTTGCGTAAGATATCAATTGAGGTGAATAAATATGAGTGAGGAGTCTGACCAGGTGTGCACGTTGAGACCTTGAAGCTTTGTTATCGTGAAGATTGAATTGAATACTTGCCTGGGGAACAGAGCTTCTTGCGGGTCGTTCCTACTAGGCTCGAGCTAGGTAGACTCGTAGATACGCGAAAACCCGTTTCCCGCTCTCGCCGCAGTACCACAAAAGGCAGGCATTAGGTATCATTATAATCTGAAAATGCGCGCTTCATATTATATCAGGAAAGAAAGAAAATTTAATAATTCATGCAACAATCAAACCAGCCCTTTAAATTCAACCCTCTCCCCTAATACTACTCATTGTTGTTGTGTATGTTTAAAATCCGAAAAACATTCATTCCATTTTCATTTTCAGTGAACAAAGTTTAGATCTTCATCAGACTTGGCCGCCCCTGTACATAAACTATGAGTGGGGTGGAATCATCATCATCGGGATAGCTTCAACAAGACGCTACACGCTGCCATGTATTTATCGACGGCGAAACTTGATGCGGAGACCATATCCTTCCTCACTACACCGATACCGCAGCCTATACCATTTGAATCAAATGTATATATTAGGGGCGACTCTCAGATTCAGCGTTGGTCATCGCTGATTGGAATCGTCACTGCAATAGTGGGCAATATTCTCATATCTTTCGCCCTAAACATACAGCGCTATGCACATATAAGGTTACATGAGGGGGAGATACGACGGAAAGAGAGGCTGAAGGCTATTTCGAAATCTGCGGGGGGGTATGGAACGATTGGAACAGCGGGAGCAGATAGGACTAGAATTGTCGAAGAGAACTATGAAGGTGGTGAAGAGGAACCTTTACGACGATCATTTCACTCCCAAAATTCTCAATCTTCGACTTGCACAGAGAATGATGACGGAGATGAAAAATCCACATACTTGCGGTCTCCATACTGGTGGGGAGGGATTGTTTTAATGACTATCGGAGAGCTTGGAAACTTTTTGGCATATGGCTTTGCGCCCGCATCAATCGTTTCTCCTTTGGGTGTCGTCGCTTTGATATCAAACTGTGTGATAGCTCCGATCATGCTGAAGGAACAATTCAGACTCAGGGACTTCTGGGGAGTGGTAGTTGCGGTTGCAGGTGCTGTTACAGTCGTCTTGAGTGCCAAGCAAGAAGAAAAGAAACTTGGACCTCATGAGATTTGGGGTGCTATTACTACAACTGAGTTTGAGATATATATGGGTGTCACAGTATTGTTGATTGCGATCTTGATGTGGGCAAGCCCGAGATATGGCAGGAAAACAATATTGGTTGACCTTGGACTCGTTGGATTGTTTGGTGAGTTGTCATTATCATGTCCCGGTTTCACTCAACTTATCATTATTTAGGAGGCTATACAGCACTTTCAACCAAGGGTGTATCATCGATGCTTTCTTCTACTCTTTGGAGAGCGTTAACAACACCGGTTACATATGTTCTTCTGCTCGTGCTGGTTGCTACCGCCATTATGCAGGTTAGATATGTCAACCGGGCACTTCAACGCTTCGATTCGACTCAAGTTATCCCTGTACAATTCGTCATATTCACATTATCAGTCATTACTGGCAGTGCAATTCTCTATCGTGATTTCGAAAAAGTCACCAGCGAGAATGCAGTAAAATTCATCGGTGGCTGTATGTTGACGTTCTTCGGGGTTTGGCTCATTACTAGCGGTAGACCATCGCACGATGATGAGAACATTAGTGAAGCGGATGTTGAAGGCGAGGAAGAAAGGATTCGACTCTCCACCCAGGAATCTACCGGCGACGAAGTTCCATTTCGTAACGAAACACGAAAACGGTCGAGTCTTCAATCGAAGTCAAGGCCGAGTCTTACCCATGCTAGTGATGGGTCAGTCGACGAAGAAGCAATCCAGGAATCGCGGAGGTCATCACATGTTAGCTTTGTAATTTCACCATCACGACCACAAACACCACAAAGATCTTCATCACGACATCCAGTAGTACGGGTGCGTACTTCGGATCTTTCTGGTGATCGACTTGCAAATGAGGAAAGTCCCCTAATCTCCAATCCATGGCTGGATTCAAATGAAAATTTCTTACAAACACCAAAACATCCAGGGATACAATCCAGTATATCATCCCCAGTACTGCCTTCCGAGGCTCAAACGCACCCTCCTATACGGCCACTCCCCACTAGAAATAATACGCAATCTCATTTCCATACCCCTCAAAGTCAACAAAATGGGCCCTCACCACCCCAAGCAGAGCGACCAATGACACCAACAAGTTATTCGTTATCTCGCATGCTTCCTGGTCCATTGTTATCACCCTTATCCGGAGGATTAAGTGTGGTAATAGCAGATTCGTTAAGACGTGGAGTTGATTCCCCTCACAGCAAATCTTCTAGACGGCTGCCCGATCTTCGAAGATCAAAATCGGTGTCCCAAAGACTTATACAAGCAAGTGAAGGCGCACCTGATGATGAGGATATTGATGCACCTCTAAAGGATAGTGAAGCAGCACAAGAGATAGAAGAACGTGAATCATTCAACCGTTCAATAAAAACTAGAGCTCGGAGTTTGAGTAATACACTTGGAGAATTCCTAAGAGGAAAGCCAAGAGATGGGAAGGACAACGATGAGGAAGCGGGCCCGAGCGGGTCATAAGTTGGAATTGTTTGTTATTGCATTGATTTGGTGAATTGGAATTGGTTACATTAGCATGAGGTTTGGGTATATCGAGAGCACGGCGCATAAGCGAGATAGTACTAATTTGAATTAGTGACACAAATGTATGAAACTTGTGTTTTTATGACAATATGGGACCTTCTGTATTGTTGGCGTGATTGTGAAATAGGTACAAAGGGACAATGTGAAATAAATTACTAAGATCGACACTATATATAGTTTCGTACCTGGGAATCCACATTCCCCGGCTGTTCATTTGACATTTGTTCGCAAACGCACGTATCGATATGTCTTCGTACTAGGCTTTCTTCCCCGTTCCTAATTAGACTTCTGGTTCCAAGTCAATTCCTGCCGGTACGAATGTGATGATGCACTACATTTTCAGATTTGCAGTTATGTGTGGTATACCTAACATTTTTTCAGTTTGGTGTTGTCCGTCAAATTGACATGGTATTCTACAATGTGCTCGACAATTTTGGACAGTGAAGACCAATGGTCTAAATTCTACTTGTAAGTTGGCTGCCCCTAGTTAAGCACCAAATTGCTAATATTCACGGCCAAACTCAACGGAGTACATTGCCAGTACTGAATGCTCCTCGTGGATTCTCTGTCAACCATTCCCTAAATCCCCTCGGAACCTGGAAGACCACGATAAACAGTATGCGTTGGGTTTCCCGAGCATCTATACAGACGCAAACACTCTTCAACTTTCCCATTGAAGTGGCTATCCGATCTATCTCCGCGAGCACCCTCTTCCACAAAATCAGAAACTCCAGATATGATTCTCTCCTTACTTCCGACCCGTCCATCGCTCCCTCGTGGCATCAACCATGTATTCAAACTATCTAGATACTTCGTATCCGCATCAGTCAAAAATCGCATCATCAATCTCGCTCGAGGATGACGATCTTTATTGTACTCGAAGATTCTGAATAACAAAGCCTCGCGATGGCTAGTAGATTGGAGAATGAGATTGATAGATGGGTTTGTGGTGGGCTCGATGAGTTCGCCGCGCATGTGCTTCAGGTAGCTAGCTAGTCTGTAGTGTGTATCATGCTCGATATTGGCCATCCGCTCTGAAGTATGATTTAAAAAATTGAAATCAGAATCTGTGAGATTGAGCAGATCCAAACTGGCTTTCTTAGAACGCAGATGTGCTTGGATCTCCGAGCCGGGTCGAGCCGAAGACGCATTTCTAAGTGCAGTTTCTACGGCAGGAAAATCGGGAAGGGTATCAAAATGATTATAGGCGTAGAAGTGATAGAGGATCTGCTTTCGCTTCTCCCAGTTCTCAGCAGCAGCTATTTCGTCATGTGGAGCGTTGCTGCGCGCAGGCGTCCAATTTTTACCTCCACGTTCGGGTGGAATGGGGCCGCTGACTGAATGGATTGAGACGTCGAATGGAGGTCGAAATTGACGTATTTGGAATGGACGTTCTAAGGCGGGTGAGCGTGCTTGCATTGCTGGGGTAGGGACAGTTGGAGGGGTGAAAGTGATCAGTGGGTCAGCTTCAACTACATCTTGATCTTGATCTAAATCCATTAGGGAAAGTTGGAGTGTCAATTCTGTAAGTTTCTTGAGGACGGCACGCATTTCATTTCTTCGGGTCGGCAAAGGATTGGTTCGCAAAGCGGCGTTTTGTGTATTAACTTGGGTGGTGGCAGGTGCTGCTAGAGCAGCAACTCCGGCCGCGATTGCAGCATTGACAGCATTGGAGTTACTTGATGACATGATCGAATATGTCACCGATTCAAGATTGAAGGGAGAAGATTGAGGATGTGACGAGAGATTTCACTATGTTTATATTAAAGCATGGTTGAAGCATTATAAAGAACCAAATTTCTTGCAAACTCCTTGCATGACTCCATGGTATGAAAAGAGATGACAGAGCATTCTCTTTCTCATGGGTGATTCATCAAGTGAAATCTTCATGATTATCAAGAAGGAGATATGAAGGCAATCACATCTTCTTTCTCTTTGATTTTACTTCAACAAAAGACAGCTTGCATTCATTCTCTACAGCGGAACAGTGAAACCTTATATGCATGCAATGTTGGATCCAATTGCAAAGGATTATGCTGACGGCAATATTGGACTCATCTTTCATCCTGAAAGAGAAAAAATATTATCGAAATTAGTCAGTCACTCTTTGTCGAGAAGAAACGAAAACTTAACCCCAAAAATTTCTATATTTTTGCTTTTCTTCATCGTACAAACTTCCGTTGTGAATTGGGCGTAATTATCCGACCCCGAACAAACTTTTCTAGTCATAATTAAAGTTCGCTAGTACAACACTATACGACAGTAGCACCACTGAATCATCGTTAGATTCAGCTGCTAGCAACAATTTCAATTAATCCAATCACAAATGCTGTAATGATTTTCAACCCGTGTATAACATTTGTAAATAATTTGCCGTAGCAAGTGACAGGTGTACATATTCCCGTGAACATTTGGCATCATGTATACTTTGTTTCAGAGAGTGCATCTTATTTGAGTAAACTCGTCTTAAGATTAGCTGTCTCATGCTACTCTGCAATTACGGAAGCCATTATGATGAATGGCATGTCAATCCCCAAAGCATCAACCGGTGCTCCAAGTAGCACAACACCATCCGCTCAGGAGTTGCGGCAACAGCTGCTTGCGCAAATTTTTGAGTATAACACTGATGTAAACACACCATCGGAGCTAAGAATACACGTTACTGGTCTTACTCTAGAAGAAGGTGCAATATTTGAGCGTGATGCCAGTCCAGGAATAAGAAATCCAAGAATTCAAACTCCTGCCAACGCACCGCGAGAGGGCTTGACTTCATTACGCAACGCTACTCTTGATATAAAGAGCTCTCCCCCCAAAGACTCAACAACGACATTGGAGCGCGAAGCATCGAAATCCAGAGAACTTACACATTGGCGAGACGCGAAGATCAAGTTGCGAGATCTTCAACGTGAAAAAGAAACCTTGGAAATGGAAGGTCGTCGTCGAGCTGCAAAAGAGCAAATCGATGCTCGATGGCAAGATCGAGCGCTAAAAGATTTTAAAGAAAACAAAGCAGAGATCAAGTACGATATAGTACCTGGTGTTGATGGTAGTGATAAGGTAGTTATCACCGATGTGCAATATCCAAAGAGCGTTTCGGGGACCGGAGGGGTTTTGTCAGGAAATGCAATTGATGAGAGGATTAAGTATAATATCCGGCATGATGAAGATTCTCTCCGAAAGTCGCTTATTGATATCATAAACGGTGAAAGCGTGAGACAGAATCGAAAAACTACATCGAATCGGAGAAGAAGATCGCCAAAGATACCTACGGGAACAAGACAACTAGCTGAATCTAGAAGAAAACTAGATAAAGAATGGGTGGCAAGCGAAGGCCATCGAAGAGCAATAAGGCAAGACGACGAAAGTACGCGGAAGAATCTTCTAAAAGGTGTCAATCGAGCTATCGCGACTGCTGAAGAGATGGTACTGAAGGGTGCAGAACAGCTCATAGACTTTGTGAATGGAGATCAGGCTTGGGAAAACACAACAGAAGTGGTGTATGACAACAAGAATAAGGATTCGCGACTTCGAGATGAGAGTCCTCTAGCATATGCTAGACTAGGATATTCATCACCCTTTTCGGCAAGAAATGAACCAGAGTCTAAGAGCCGTGGTGGAAATAGATATGCACATGAGCTACTAGTATCAGAAGAGAGAGAAAGGACAGCCTACACGGAAGGGACTTCACCGCCATTCCAGGCGCATATGAAACGAGCACTTCCAAGGGCAAGAGCTAATACACAAGCTCATAGTGGTGGCTTACCGGAGCCTCCTCGTCGTGAAAAGCTCTATGGTGGCAATTACATACCGGAAAAGGATGGTTCACCGCAGGCTTTCCGCTCGACGCAAGAAGAAAAGGACCGACCTTTCGTCTATCGGCCAAGAGAAAATATCCAAATACCTCCGATGTCTCCCTTAGCCCCAAAAGTAACACAACCTCAGCGAAGGTCGAACTCAAAGCTTGAACATCTACCCGTTGTTTTCCCCGTACCAACCATTCGAGATTCTTGTCTACTGCCAAGCGAAAGTCCAGCTCAAGGGAAAATTCGTACGCAACGCGAAGAAGCCCATGCCAAGTTTGAAAGGGAAAAATCAAAATATCAAGGAGAAGTCGAAACTGCAAAAAAAAAAGAGCAAGCTTCGCCAAAAGGTATTTTGAGCCGGGATGGAAAAGGGAAAGGTAAGGGTATCGCGTGGGCTGATAAACCTATTGATTTCAAAGAGGATGATATGCCTTCAATGGGAAAGACTCTTTCATTTAATCAGAGAGCAGATCAAGAGGAGCTCAGAAGATTGCAGGAGAAAAGAGCCACACGGGAAGGGCAATATAAATGCCATGCAACAGAAAGCACTATTGAGAGAGAGAATTTGGCAGCATGGGAGAAAGCGAAGGCATTGGCTGAGAAGTTGATGCGCGGTGGAGGTGGTTCGGAGGATCAAAGGGACCCTAGGGCAGGAAAGTAACGTGATGTGTCAACTATGGTAGAACCAAAGAGTATATCACAAATTTCCTACCCTTTCGAGTTTAGTTGCTTAAATAGTTGCAGTTCAAAGCCTTCACCTTTTTAGCTTTGTCATTCCATATGATCAGATTCTGCTGTTCAACTGATGATTTCCAATTTTGCTTTCCCAGCGATCCATAATTAGGGTTTCGTGCAGGCTGATCCTTCAATAGGATCATCGGTTTGTTTATTGACAGTTGCTGTGAATAGAAGTGATCAACTCGATCACTTGCATCTGACAAGTCAAAGGAGAAAGGGCCAGATCAACAGTACGACACAGACTGACACGGCAACACCATCCGACTATACTCACTATAGACTCCTGCTTCACGATGGCTAAAAGACTCTTCTGAAGTTCCGAGATTGTAAGAATTATATATTATTCAATCTTTAATTTCCCGGGACAAAAGTTGTTTTGGATTACGAAGCTGTCGTGATAACCTCTACGAATCCATCGCGTAATACCTCCCTGATCAATAAATGCAAGGACAACATGGAGTCAGATAATGACCTCATTCTCTCATTTTGCTAGCTTGTTCTCCACCATTTCTCCGCCGTAATTAAATCGTTCATTCCTTTCTCACTCTCCAACTTTTGACGCTGTCCCTGTCACAATTGCTACTTCAGGAGAGTTTTCCGGCCAAAGATATTGTAATCAACGATGCCTTAGAGCTCTGATACTCTGTTCGTACTCATCTATGCCGACTTTCCCGCCCGAACGAATAATGGGATACAGAGTTGCCCACATTTTATCATCATAGACCGCTCCTCGTCTTATCTTGAGTTTTTGACACAAGTGTGTCTCAACTTTCAACCACTTCTATGGGTGGAAAACTGATGATAACAAAATACGATGTTTGTTTGGGTTTTCACCATTTGAGGATAGACATCCTTGGCACATGATTGTGATCGACACCACTTCGCACCGAGTAGGACACCGATTTCAAGTTAGTAGCTTAAATTCGGATATTACCAATAAAACCCGCCGGTCAAAGAGACTCTCTTGCTGCTGCGAGCGATGCATCATGCTCTGCAGTCCCGAATATTGTCACTGCAGTAAATCGCGAGATGATATGAGACGATTTCCCGGGATACTTATTAATGAACCCAGTCACGTTCTTCGGAGCTTTAAAACTCGTGATTTGGTGGTCTGTGATTGGGGAAGTTGAATGCAACTTCAAGGTTGTGGAGGACCCAGCATCTCCACCACAGTTGTCTCCATTCTCCACCCAATTCCTCCATCTTTCCGCGTTTCACCAGTAAGGATGATCGGAAAAACTAGACAACAAATCAGGGTTCAAGGCTGCAACAAATTAATATTCCTCCCTTTCATTCTCTTCATTCTTAATCCCTCCTTTCGTATACGTAATAGGTGAATACACATCAAGATGGAGTAGCATTCGGCCGCGTTTGATTTCGATAAAAATTGCTCGTTTGCCTGCAATGATACGCTATCGCCTATCGATTCGGATAAACAACCTAAATACGAGTCGTGCTTCTCCATGAAAGTCATTAGCGTCCATGTCAACGCGTTATCCTCGGAACTGGGGATTGGGGATGTGAGAAAATAAGTGCTTTATTAGTCTCCATGAAAGAGAAAGTTGGAACCCATTGATCCATAGTGGAACCAAATAACACACGTTTGTTAATAACTCCGTTACTCCAGTTCATTGAGTTCACTCCATGAAATCCACCAAACCACTTTAAATCCACAACATCGGAACACGTCCCACAAATTTTCTTTCTCCTCATCATCTCACTCGTCCCGTTGCATTCCCAAAAGTATAACCAACTTCGCGCCAGCCACCCACTGAATCCTTCCTCCGCCTATGAACTTTTCCGCTGCAGGGTCCTTCAGATTTTCACACACAAAAGATCCCATCTATTATCTCGGATCTGCCTCGGTCTATCTTGGCATGGGAGTTCCTCTATGACGTTATTTTGCATCTCATTTTCATAAAATTTTGGTTGAAATAACGTTTGCCATGTAAGGATTTCTCTGGGGGTAGATCACCGTCATTTTATCGTTGAAACCATGATTTGCGCGCTTGGTGAAAATATTTTCTCTGTAAAATACTTGTCTGACTTGACCTATGTTGGTATCCAAAAAAGTTAATTTTGCCTCCTCAATGATAAACGCCAAGTGAACATTTACCGAGGTGACTGTTGTGGCCAAGATGTTAAATT